TGGCATCACAGCTCACAGCAACCTCAAATTCTTGGGCTTAAGCAATTCTCTCGCCTCAGCCTCCTAAGTAGCTGGGACTATAGGCACCTGCCACAACACGTGGCTGTTCTTTGGTTGTAGTTGTCATTGTTGTTTGGCAGGCCTGGGCTGGGTTCAAACCTACCAGCTCTGGTGTATGTGGCTGGTTTCCTAGCCGCTGAGCTATAGGCGTCAAGTGTGCCTGGCAATTTTTTAGAGGTGGGGTCTCCTTCTTGGTCAGCTGGTCTCAAACCATTTAGCTCAGGCAATCCACCCACCTTGGCCTCCCAGAGTGCTGGGATTATAGGCATGAGCCACCATGCCTGGCCTGGAATAATTACTAAATCTATATTCAATGTCTTTACCTCTTAAGACAGCAACGAAGGTTGTTGGTTGTTGTACGTAACCATCCCAAAATAGCATTGCCAGGATCATAATAGGTAAACGTCTCTTCTCAAACAAAAGAGGTTTTTCAAAGGACATGAAAGTAAGCTGACTTCGTCTTTGCTGAAGAATAATTTGGGGAGGAGTGGATAAACAAAACTCACCTTCTAGATAAGAATTGATGATGTTAGAGTTTTCTTGGTTGCCCTGGGTTAGAATGAAGTGACATTAGCCTGCTTCACAGCAGCCTCAAACTGCTGGGCTCTTGCCTCAGCTTACCAAGTAGCTGAGACTTCAGGTGCCCACCACAACAATGCCCAGCTAATTTTTCTATTTTTAGTAGATATGGGGGTCTCGATTGTGCTCCTTGTGGTCTCGAACTCCTCAGCACAAGGAATCCTCCCACCTCAGCCTCCCAGAGTGCTAGGACTATAGGCAAGAATCACGGCACCCAGCCAGTATAGAGCCTTTTGGTGTGTTTATTTATAGAGCGTTTCTCCTTGTATGTTTATAGTGGGAGAGCTGCTTCTGCTTTTGTTCAGTTTGCTACATTGCCGGAACCAGAGTCCTTATTTTTTTCTTGGAATCTTTTGAAAATTTCGGATGCTACTTTATTTAAAAAGATAAAAGACATCTAGCATTTGATGGGCTGGCTGTTCTTTTTGTGCTTTCTAACCTCTCTATAATAATTGTGGGCTATTAAGCATCTCCCCAGGCTCCGGCTTTGAAGGTCCTCTGATGGATTCACATAGCAGTTGCTTTAGAAACATAATATTCTAAACTGTCTTGTTTTTCTTTCCTGCAGGCTTTCCTAAAATAGATATGTGATTGTGGGAAAATAGGATTTGGAAAAAACAACTCAAACGACTTGGCGGTTGATTATTGAATTTTGTTTTAAAATTTCTTTATTTACCAAAATAGTTGGAAAAAAGATGTTTGTTTTTCTCCCTTTTCCCATTTAATAGAGGCATAGAGAAGTTGAAACGTGGTAAGATTGATGCTTAGAAGAAAGGCCTAATCATTGCCCATAGTACTTCTCACTCTTTGTTTTTTTGCAGCTGAAATTCCTTGCTGGGAAGGAAAGCTCTTGCAGGGATTAGAAGAAAACAGTGTATCTGGCACTGCCCTGAGAGAATACCTCTCAAGATGCATCCCAGACGTCCTTAATGGGACAGGAATGCATTCTGTAGAGAGGAACCATTGAGACTGGTCCAAAGCCAGTCCTCCCTCCTTTAAACTGATGGCAAATCTTGGGTAACTTGGTTTTGTAGCTGGTTTAGCAGGGAGCATATCACTCTACAAATCTGGAACTAAAGCGGACTTAACTCCGCAAAGCAAGATTCAGGGGATGCTTTGGCTGGGGCTGCTTTCCACAGTTGGCACAACCCCCTTTCAGCCCTAGCTATTGGCCTTCAAGTGTTTGGAAGCAGAAATATTGGACATTTGGCTAAAATCTTAGCAAAGGCTTATAAAGTGCTTACCTTACGCCCAGTGTTGGGCTTACTTATTTAATGCTTGTTGCATAACTACCATCCCCTTCCTATGGGGAGAAAGTTCCGGGAGCCCTGAACAGTGAGAGAAAAAGGACTGCTAGCTTCAGAAAGCAGTGCCCACGGTTCAGGGAAAATGCCACACATACCTGTTTCAGGTTGGGCTGAGGACAAGCTGTTTCTTTGTGCTTTGTTCTAAAGACTTCTCAAGTGTACACCTGTCCTTGTGACTTAGCCAAGAGTATTACATTCAGCTGTAACCCAAAGGTGTCCCTTGTCAAAAAGAGAACAAAAAAAAAAACACTTAAAGAGGTCATAAGTGTGAAATTATCTTAATGGGCATCCTTACACTCTGGACATGAAACATTTGAAATTAAAAAGCCATATATTGCTTTAAAAAAAAAAAAAACATGGCTCAGTGTCTTTGGCTTAAGTGGCTAAGGCACCAGCCACATATACCTAAGGTGGCGGGTTCGAATCCAGCCCGGGCCCACCAAAACAACAATGACAGCTGCAACCAAAAAATAGCCGGGCGTTGTGACGGGCACCTGTGGTCCCAGCTACTTGGGAGGCGGAGGCAGGAGACTTGCTTGAGCCCAGGAGTTGGAGGTTGCTGTGAGCTGTGATGCCATAGCACTCTACCGAGGGCTACAGCTTGAGGCTCTGTCTCAAAAAAAAAAAAACCACATGTTGCTGGGCATGGTAACTCACACCTGTAATCTCAGCTGTGTGGAATGCCATGGTGAGAGCATTGCTTGTCCAGAGTTTTGACCAACCTGGGCAACATAGTGATACCCCCATCTCTAGCCAGGCATGGTGGTGCATACCTGTAGTCCTAGCTACTCAGGAAACTAAAGCAGGAGAACCTTGAGCCCAGGAGTTGCAGGCTACAGTGAGCTATGATTGCATCACTGCACTCCAGCCTGGTGACAGTGAGATTCTATCTCACTTTTTAAAAAACACTTTCATCTGGCCCTGTTCCATAACAATGCTGCCAAGATTGGCCAGCTAAACGCTAAAGGAAATAGGTACTTTTAATTTTGGAGTAGCTGATGGTTAATTTTAAACCAGACATCTGCTGAAGAAAAGATGCAACTAGAAGTCTCCTCTTCCACAGACCGCTTTGTGGATGGAGCATCCCCATGTGTCCTTACTAAGGATTTAAAAGGAGGTGCATTTGGACTGAGAGTCAGGAGCACACAGAAGCTGTGTGACCTTGGGTCACCCATATCACTTCTTCATCTGTTTTTTTATTAAGAATATGAGCTTATACCAGATCTACAAAAATACATACTCAAGAGACTCATGTAAGAAAAAAAAAAAGAGAGCCATGAAAAGTGTCAGCCCTCCGTTCTCTGGCTGGTGTTTCATAGACAGGTGCCCTGGGGGTCCCATGACACAGTAGAATTCAAGTGTGGATCACCTCTGTCTCACTACCTTCCACTCCTTTGCGTAGGGGGTAGGAAGCACACAGCTCATTGAGTTCTTATCTCTAATAGCAGCCACGCTTTGGAAAGTGGTTATCTTGTTGCTCTGGCATCGGGATGTTGGGGTGAGTGGCTGATAAGGGCCACCAAGGACGATATTTTCCTTATTTTGTATGCCTTTCAAATGGCCTTGTTTCTTGAGAGACTTTGGTAGCATTCTCAAAAGTGCCATGGAAAATGATTATCGTACTAAAGACTGTACCTTGTGTGGTTAAGTGTGGTTAGATGGGAGAAGTGAACTCTCACCATTAAAAATGATTCACTCCATGAATTGCATCATCCACACCCAGCTGTGTGATACTTGCCTAAATTTCCTTCTTTTTGTGAAAAGATGCATGAAGCCACCGCTGGTTATTGAATTTGTCTCAGGAGGAGAGAAAAAAGCTTTTAGCTAGGTTGTAATTATAGGTCTCCACGTGCTCCTGGCCTAATTAAGGTTCGCTGTACTCTCTAAGGAAGGAAAAAGCACATATGGTTTTGGGGTGGTACTGTCTGAATCTTCGTTTCTTGGAAAAAGGCCTCAGTAATAATGCTCCCGTGGTTGTTCCTGGAGTCGGAGGTGGCATGGAGCACTGCGGGGGTAGTGGCAAGCTGTTTGGCGTAGCCTGCTTTTTCATTGTAGTATAGACTTGCCCCTTTTTGAGCCAATTCGCAGAAACCCAAGGTAGATGCCTGCCTGTGTCTGTGCCTCATCTTGTCCTACCTCCTGGGCCCTGTCACCCTGTGGGGTCTGCTTGCAGCCAGCTCGATGAATTTCCAGAGAACTGACTAAAGCAGCTCTTTGGAAAGAGGCCAGGCCTGAGCCCTGAAAGGAAGAGTGGCCACTGTGACTTTGACAAGAGTGTTGTCTCCTCTGATGTGTTCCTTATGGGACTGAAGAGTCCTGGGGTCCACAACCCATAGATGCACTATTACCCTCTGATGGAAAGAGCAGCCCTCTGCCCTCCAGTACTGGCCCAGTTATGGAGGCTTGGTGAAGTTCTTAGATGAATAAACTTTAATTTGGGCCTTGGTTCTTCATGTATTAAATTAGTCTTTATCTCCTGTAGCCAGGGATATTGGAGAATTTCCATATCCCCAGTGTGGAGTTTGTATCCTTGAACAGAATTCAGATGAATACCATCAAATTCAGGCCTTATTAAAATACTTTCTCACATTTTAATTTCTCCATTTGCAAAGCAGAAATGAAATTAAGCTGTCTTTACATTTTCTTGCTGCAAATGAAACATCAGGCCTAGATTTGGAGGAAAGGAATACAGTTCCTTGAACTGTCATTAGTTTCTCAAATACTTGTTTAGCACCTCTTGTATAGCAGCTCCCTGGGAGTCCTGGTCACCGTCCTCTAAAAGCTTGCAGAGCCGCCCAGACAGACCCCTTAACAAAGGGCTTAAAGGGAGCCAGTAACTATCATCATGGCAGAGTGAGCCCTGATGAAGGAGAACCAACCTCAGCAGCACTGCTCGAGAGAGCAGTCATGAAGAAAAAAGAATTTTAACAGAATTTTGAAGGATAGGCAGGATTTTGAGAGCTGGATTTGGTGATTCATGGGTACAGAGAGCATTCCAGTTAAAAAGAACAGAACTGGGCTCAGTGCCTGTGGCTCAAGCGGCTAAGGTGCCAGCCACATATACCAGAGCTGGCGGGTTCAAATCCAGCCCGAGGCTGCCAAACAGTGACAACTACAACCAAAAAATAGCCGAGTATTGTGGCGGGTGCCTATAGTCCCAGCTACTCTGGAGGCTGAGGCAAGAGAATCACTTAAGCTAGGGGTTGGAGATTGCTGTGAACTGTGATGCCACAGAACTCTACCCAGGGCGATAGCTCAGGGCTCTGTCTCAAAAAAAAAAAAAAAAAGAAAAAAAAAGAACAAAACTGAAACAGGCTCGTTAGTATAATTTGGTCCATCCTCATCTTCTTAATGTGAAAACAGTGAAGGCCCAGGGGCATTCGGTGGCTTGCCTCTTGTGCTCAGCCTGGCACTCACATCTTCCTCCTCACCATTCTAAATCCCTGTGCTATTTTTTTGGCCTTGAAAACTCTCTTATTTCTTAATACTTTTTTATGTGTAGACGGTGACAATGCAGAAGAAAAACAGCTCAAAGGAAGTTAACAAAAGAAAAATCAGATAGTGGGCAGGAAGCTCAGTGTGAGTGCAGCATTTATACCCAATTTTGGCATTTATTTCTGAGGTCAGTGCGGGTGGACATACTATGATATGTCTGCAGACTCTTGTAATCACCTGCTTTTCCCTCAAGGGAATCTGTGTTGCTCACCAAGCTAACCTCTAGTGTTCAAGGCTAGTGGGGGGGGGTATACCCAGGAGGCTCTTGAGTCATGGGTGGTTACATCTTTTTTAAAATGCTACTCGTAGGTCAGCCATTTCTTATTTGAAGTTCAGGAGCACAAAGCCCATGGTTCCCAATCCTAGTTGCACATTGCTCAGGTTGCTCAGGTTGTTAAAAACAAACAAGGGTGGGGGAGGCTTTGAGATTCTGGTTTAATGGTCTGGGATAACGCTAAGCATCAGTAATTTTTAAAAACTTCTCAGATGATTCTGTTATGCAGCTAAAATAGGAACTACAGCTCTAAGGAAATGATTTTTAGACTCTGGCTGCCTCAGAATCACCTGTTAAAGCAGAGAGCTGGGCTTCAAACCCACAAATTTCTGACACAGCACATCTGGAGTGGAGCCTAGGAGTGTTAGAATTCTAACAAGTTCCTGGATGGTGTTGAAGCTGCTGGTTGGGGACCGCACTTTGAAAACCATAGCCTTAGATTCCCAGAGGGATCTGACATTCAGGATTCTGAGGCCCTGCCTTAATCATGGTCTAATCTCAGAGTTTTAGATTCTGAAGGCATAGTGTAGACTCACGAATGTGCATTTCTTCTTTTTGGTGGGCTGGGGGACAGAGTCTCTGTCACCTGGGCTAGAGTGGCATTGGCCTAGCTCACAGCAATCTCAGACTCCTGGGCTCAAGGGATCCTCCTGCCTCTGTCTCTCAAATAGCTGGGACTGTAGGCACTTGCCACCACACCTGGCTAGTTTTTTTTTTTTTTCTTTTTTTTGAGACAGAGTCTCACTGTGTTGCCCTTAGTAGAGTGCCATGGCATCATAGCTCACAGCAACCTCAAACTCTTTTTGGGTTTAAGGAATTCTCCTGCCTCAGCCTCCCAAGTACCTGGGACAATGCCCAACTATTTTTTTTGTTGCAGTTGTCATTGATGTTTAACTGGCCCAGGCTGGGTTTGAACCTACCACTCTCAGTGTATGTGATCAGCACTGTAACTACTGTGCTTGGGTACTGCCCATAGTTTTTTTGTTTTCAAGTAGAGATATGGTCTCTCTCTTGCTCAGGTTGGTCTTACATTCCTGAGCTGAAGCAATGCACCTGCCTCAGCCTCCCAGAGTTCTAGGATTACAGGTGTGTGAACTAGCACGCCCTGCCATAAACGTGCATCTCTTAAAAGTTCGTGTGTGAGGCGGCTGCTACTGCACCGGGGAACCTACTTTGAGGACCTGTGGCCAGTTCCTTTTGCTAGGTCCAGGATGAGGTCAGGCAAGTCACCTCAGCTTTCCCCAGCTGTCACCATGTGGTCACCAGGAAAACATAAGGTGGCCGTAGGCTTCAGGAAGAAGCTGAAGAGGAGTGCCGAGCCATGATTTACTTAGACAAAGGGTTGCATCTCATAGGTATCTGGAATGGACAGTGTGGAGAAGCACAGGGTCGGCCGACTGAGCCTTCTGTCTGGACTTTAGAGTGGGTCCTCCTTTTGTGCCGATGAGGAAACTGAGGCCCCTTCGGTGAGAGCTGGCGATAACTGCAGGACCATAGCAAAGAGCTTGCCCCCCACTTCTGGGGTCCTCTGTAACACCACAGTATCTGCTGTGGTTCATGGGGCCTGGGCACAATTTCCTCAGTCTGCTGAAGTCTAATTCACGGATCCAGATGATACGACAGCAACAGGAAATAACGAAGGTGAAATTGGACTAAACATCCATGCACCTACAGCAGTGGTTCTCTAAGTGTGGTCTCCAGATCAGCAGCAAAAGTGTTGCCTAAAATTTGTTAGAAATACAAAATCTTGGCCCTCAGAATCGCTCCCCAGTGATCTTGGGTTTAACTTGCCTTTCAGGTGACTCAGTTGCCGCACAGTCAAGTTTGAGCAGTGCTAGCTCAGGGAAAGTAGCCCCAGGCTGCTGGGGCAGGACAAGGAACCTGTGATCAGATGGGTCTGGGCACTTGGGATAGGACCAAGGGGTGACAGACGGCGGATTCTGCAGAGAGGCAGCGTGACTCCCAGGCCCACCACCTAATCGGTGACAGTGGCCACCCCTCCTGAGATGGAGGCTCAGGTCATTAAAACTTGCCCTTTGTTCACTCTTGCCTGCAGTTGTTTTTTCTCAGAGCAGATTTGCTCAGCACAGGCCAAGGTAAATTTTCACAGATTGTGCAGCTAATGACATTTAATTGAATGGGGCTTTATGTGGTTCTGATTTTGTTGGTGACTGGCTTTTTCCTCTCTCCTAGTTAGTAACAGGAGTATGGGAAGGCAGATACAACTTTTTCTGTCAGGGCACACGCAGCGCGGGAGAGTCAGATATGAAGGTACGGTCTCTTCTTCAAAACATGTTTATGTATGTATGTATTTATGTGGGTGTTGGTTTTTTAAAGAAATTGTGCAAATGACAAAGTGGCCCATAGCCTCACTGCACAAGGTAATTTCTATTGACATTTTTAAAAAGATAAAGACAATATATATGTACAGGTGCTATGAAAATTTGAACAAGCATGAGAGGTATAAAATGAAAGTGAAAGCATCCCTCTCTGTATAAATAACACCTGTTGATAAGAAAAAGATACATGCATTTCTCTGTATTCCTGTTACATTTACGTAAAGGGGATCATAAAGGCAATGTCTTAAATTTTCAAAATCATTCAGTGTGATCTGAGTAGTGATGTTAAAGATTGAGTCCAACTTCCACTCTGAGATTATTTTTCTTTTTTTAACGTCAAAGGCTGACAGTTGAAGCTCAGCAGCATGGGGAGTCATTTCGGTAAAGCACCTGTTTGACATGCTTAACTGGGCAGGGACCTCACACTGCAGCTTCTGATTCCTTCTGTGCTCATGTCAGATCAGCTGTCCCACGTCAGCCTCTGAAATCAAAAGCATTTCTCAGGTGGCCTTTGGGAATAGACAGCCTTTGAGGTTTTAAGCCTTGAACCTCCCGTTTTATTTTTTTGTTGTTGTTAGAGTCTTGAAGGGTGTCAGGGGCCCGTTGAAATCTTCCCTGTTGTCAGTTCAGACCCATCCCACTGGCCCACCCAGTCATGTTCTTTGGTGAAAGGCACCTGGGTAGAGTGACCTGAGTTCATCCAGCTGAAGGAGGTTCAGAGCCAGTGGGGCACTGGGGCTTCTCCCAGTTGACACTGGATTCTGGAATGTTAGTGAAACATGCCAGAGGAGGTAGTCCAGACAAGCATTCAGGATAAGCCTTAAATCTTTGGCCCTTCCTCTTAGATCATCCGTGTCCTCTGGTGGTACTACTTCTCTAAACTGATTGAATTTATGGACACCTTCTTCTTCATCCTGCGTAAGAACAACCACCAGATCACAGTGCTGCACGTCTACCACCATGCCTCCATGCTGAACATCTGGTGGTTTGTGATGAATTGGGTCCCCTGTGGCCACTGTGAGTATTATTAGAGGGGAACTTTGGGAACACCTATGAATAGGAAAGCTGAGTTGAAACTGAGGCTGTTAGATAAGGTGCTGTTTCTATAGATTTCTAGGTCAAGCCTTTGAGCTTTGTGTCCAAGTTGCTTTCTTTTTTTAGTCAAAGTCTCAAGCTATTGTCCTGAGTAGAGTGCTGTGGCATCACAGCTCACAGCAACCTCCAACTCTTGGGTTCAAGTGATCCTCTTGCCTCAGTTCTTCTATTTTTAGTAGAGATGTAGTCTCGCTTTTGCTCAGGCTTGTCTCAAACTTGTGAGCTCAAACTATCCACTTGGCCTCCCAGAGTGCTAGGATTACACGCATGAGCCACCGCACCCAGCCTTCCAGGTTGCTTTTAATGATCGTTTGTGTAGCCCATAAACAGGAAACCTTTTCTAGGGAACTAAACATTCTGCGCTGATTGGGTAGATGAGGGAGATACCAGTCAGGGGCATATCAAGAAATGGGTCTTACTTTGTGCCCAGGATCTGGGAAAAAGGAAAGAAAGGAAAAGAGAGAATGGGGACATTGTTCTCTGCCACAGAGGGCAGCTCTTCTGGGTTCTTTCTACTCCTCATTTCTCTGTGATGCAGAAGGTGTTTGCCTGACAGGGGCAGGCCCTGGAGATGGAGTGGCTCCATCAGCTGAGTGCTGCAGAAGGAAGCTGACTGTGAAGGACAGATTTCACTAAGTTGTGTACTAGGAATTCTGTGTTTTTCCCTGTGACCCTGTCATGCCATCAGGCATGGTTATCAGAGGGTCTTCTATGACAGGCACCAAAGTTCATTAAAAATGCTACAAGGGCTCAGTGCCTGTAGCTTAAGTGGCTAGGGGGCCAGCCACATACACCGGAGCTGGCAGGTTCCAATCCAGTCTGGGCCTGCCCAACAACAAGGACAACTACAGCCAAACAAAGGCTGGGCATCATGGTGGGTGCCTATGGTCCCAACTACTTGGGAGGCTGAGGCAAGAGGATCGCTTAAGCCCAAGAGTATGAAGTTGCTGTGAGCTGTGACGCCAGGGCACTGTACCCAGGGCGACAGCTGGAAAACTACTTGTAGTCTGAAGCCTCTTAATATGTTTTAAAGATTAAGTTGTCACCTTCAGGTTCAGCTTAGGAGTTTTAACAACCATTTCAATCAAAACTCCTGTCATCAGTGAAGGATTTGAGAACGTTTGGGTCTGTTGATGGATGTTTTTCCTCTGTGAGAGCACTGCCTGCCCAAAATTACCTCAGCCCACCCAGATTCGCAGAGGATGGAATTCTAGAACTAGAAAAACTCTGCAAATAATAGCTCCTTTGGGTTTAGGAGGAAACTGAAGCCCCACAAGGGTTGGTCAAGTGCAGGCCTCTGTGTTCAGTCCCTTCCTCCTTCCATCACAGCTCATGGCTGTGCATTAGCCAACCTAACTCTAATAGAAACATGCCCCTCCTTTCATGTGAAGGGCGCTTTGAGTTCTCAGAGAACTTGCAGGGTGACTGACGTTAGGCCGGCCCAGGAAAAACTGAGTCAGAGAATGGGCATGACTATCGCAAAGCCACAGTTACTATCACAGCCGGGGTCAGAAACTTCCTAGGCATCTGCCTTGTGGACCCCTGACTACTCTGGGAAAAGCCATATAGCTGTGTTTGGTTGTTGACTATCAGGAAGGATGATAGAAGGTCTAAAAAAAAAAAAGTAGTCCTGCTGGAAATTGAAAATCATGTGCTAAAATGGATCTTTCATCCCTAAGGACCTGGACTCTGGGCTCTACTATTCATAAAAATATATGACCTCGGGGGTGGCGCCTGTGGTTCAAGGAGTAGGGCACCGGCCCCATATGCCAGAGGTGGTGGGTTCAAACCCAGTCCTGGCCAAAAACTGCAAAAAAAAAAAGAAAAGAAAATTATATATAAATTTTATATATTATAAATCATATATAATATATATATATACATATATATAACCTCAGCACTGCAGTACTGGGGAATAATTAGAAGGTGACTTCAGAGGCCTCTCCAGATCTTAGCAGATGTGTGGAAACAGCTAGCTTTGAGCATGTCTTCTTTCGGCCTGCACTGTAATCTGTCTGAGATAGCTGTGCATATAAAGAAAAGCAGCTGCCTTGGGAGCTGAGAGGGCTCTGCCAGCAAAGCCTGCAGGTGCTGACGCAGGTGCCATCAGGGCTCCTGTGTCAGCTGTCCACCTGACAGCCACTGTCAACCCCTGCCAGCACTCGGAGCGTCCTTCTGGCCACCTTCCTCAGGGGAGTTCCATGTCTGTGCAGGGCCCACTGCTGCAGTGTTTGCCAGCCCCTGTCGGAAAACGGCTCTTTGTCTGATTCAAAAAGAATCTTGGATGTTTTCTGCCACCTGTTGTGTATAAAACACTGATGTGTCCTCCTTCCCTAATCCCCTTCATTCCTGCAGCTTATTTTGGAGCCACACTCAACAGCTTCATCCACGTCCTCATGTACTCGTACTACGGTCTGTCTTCAGTCCCTTCCATGCGTCCGTACCTGTGGTGGAAGAAGTACATCACTCAGGGGCAGCTGGTGAGTGACTCGGCCTCCGTCCCCAGGACGGGCTCCCTGGTAGACACAGACCTCTTCCTGGCTTGGTTGACGTTTAATAGCATCTCACATGTCCCTTTTCCACCCTTCTCATTTGATCCAGTCACACTCCTTAAACTAGGTAGGTCAGGAAATTTTCCTTTTTTTTTTTTTATTTTTAATTTCAAGTTAATATGAGGGTACAAATTTTTAGGTTATACTGTTTTCAATTCTAAAGTAAAGTTCAAGTTGTAGTCGAGCCCTTCACCCAGGGGGCTGTGAACACCTTCACATTGTTCACATCTCATGACATGAGATCCTGCTGATCACCTTCCCACCACCTTCCTCCCCTCCTCTCCCCACCTGTACTAACTGCATGTTAGACTATACTTGTGATTTTCTTTCCTGTGGGCATGTAGTTTATGTATTGGTTTCATATTAGTATTGAGTACGATATTTTTTTTCCATTCTTGAGATACTTTACTAAGAAGAATGTGTTTCAGCTCCATAAGAAAAGATGGAGACG